CTTAAGATTCTCTCTCTCCCTCTCCCTGTGCCTTTCCCCCCACACGTGCACGCTCATACACTCTCTTTCTCTCTCAAATAAATCTTTAAAGTCTTTATCTGATAACAAATATTGCTACTCTGGCTTTCTTTTGACATCCATTTCATTTGCATGATAGATATTTCTCCATCCCCTCACTTTCAGTCTGGTGGTGTCTTGAGGTCTAAAATGAGTCTCTTGTAGGCAGCATATAGATGGATCTTGTGGGAGAGGGAGAAGCAGGCTTTCCACCAAGCAGGGAGCCCGATGCAGGGCTCGATCCCAGGACCCTGAGATTATGACCTGAGCCAAAGGCAGACACTTAACGACTGAGCCACCCAGGCGCCCAACAATGTAGTTTTTAAGAAGAACACAATGACCTTTATATTAGAAAACATTGGATTTTTTTTCAGAAGTCAGTGTCAATTAATTTGGTAGTTCAGGTGTTATGAGAGCACTGTCTCCCGCAGGTTTATGCTTGGGGGAAGTGTAGGGGTAGTGGAAAACGGCACCTGCCAGCTCCTTTGTTTTTGGAGAAGTCCCCAACATGCTCCAAAATCAGTATTATATTGTATGGTCGGTATGAACAGATCTGTCTCCCGTTTGACCCAAGTGTTGTGCACATTGCCATTTTTATTTTGCCTCTTGGCTCAGGCTGCTGTCCCTTTAAGGGTGTTGACCCAGCTATCACTCACCCTCCTGGTTTGCTCAGTGCTGAGTCAGCTGACTTTTAAAGCTCCAGGCTCCAAGTCCCACTGGTTTAAAAAACTTACAGAATTCAGCCCCGTTTTTGAAGCCAAACATAATGGGGCTCAGTCTTCCCCATGTGAGCTCCCTGGTGTGAGGGCCCATTTCTCTGCCATCTCCATGCGCACAGTTCTCTCCCTCCTGCAGGTAACCTCCCTCCACCTTTCTGAACTTCCTAACCTTTCAGATCCAGCTTCTTCTGTATATTTAGTTGGGGAGTTTGTTCTTCCAGTCTTGTGATTGCTCTCTGGTTTATTGGCTTGGACGTGTTTGATATCTAATTGTAAATGTAGGGACAGGGAGAGCTCGGGGTCCTTCTATTCTGCCATCTTCCCCCAGATCGTGAATCTCTTTTAGTTTATTCTATATGGATGTCAGTGAGCTTCTTGGATGTGTAGATTCCTGTCTTTCATCAAATTTGGGAAGTTTTGAGCTGTTATTTCTTCAAGTGTTATTTCTGCTTTCTCTGTCTCTCCTCTCCCTGTGGGAGTCCATAGTGCATAATGTTGATAATGTCCCACAGATCCCTTAGGCTCTGTTCATTTTTCTTCATGTTTTTCCTTTCTGTTCCTCAGACTGGATAATTTCAGTTGTCCTATCTTGAGGTTCACTGATTGTTTCTTTTGCCCGAACCCCTCTAGTGATTTTTTCATTTAAGCTTTTATACTTTTCAGCTCCAGAGTTTCTATTTGGTTCCTTTCAATAATTTCTGTCTCTTTATTGGTAGTCTCTTTTTCGTGGGGAATTGTTCTTCTGGTTTCTTTTAGTTCTTTGTCCATGGTTTCCATTAGCTCTTTGAGCATATTTAAGACGCTTAGTCTTTCTCTAAAGAGTCCAATGTCTTGGTTTCCTTAAGGCCGGTTTCTGTTGATTTCTTTTTTTCCTACTATGGGCCATACTTTCCTGTTTCTTTGTATGCCTTCCAATTTTTTGTTAAACTGTTCATTTTGAAATTACAGTGTGATAACTCTGGAAATTAGATTCTCCTCCCACCCCAGAGTTTGCTGTTATTGATTGTTGAGGTCTGTTTAGTGCCTTTTCCAAACTGTTTTTGCAAAAACTGTATTTCTTGTCATGTATAGTCTCTGAAATCTCTGTTCTGTTGTCTCGGGTCAGCTAGTGACCTGACAGATTTCCTTAAACAACTGGAGCCAAAAAGACATAATAATAATAATAATAATAATAATAATAATAATAGCAACAACAACTAAATTAAAAAAAAAAAAAACCCCTTCCTATATTTGCAGATTGGCTCTGAGCAGGAGTATTCTTCAGTGCTAAGCCAGGCTGTCTATAACCCTAGCTTAGCCTTCACCTCCTTCTGGGACAGAGCTCAAAGATCAGCCAGAGGCATAAGCCTAGGGTTCTCTCACATCTTTTCTGAGCATGCATCTAGCCCTGGGAATATGCACTACACTCTGGATTCCCCAGCATATGTGATACCCCTTCAAAGCCCTTACTCTTACAAGAATCTCCCTCCTCAGTCTCCTCCTTCCCAGGCCTTTGGGTCTGTCTACCGTATACTCCATCCACCATCCCTTGCACCAGGTGACTGTGGGTAACACGTCTTTAGATGCTTTCATCAGAAGCCACCCCAAAAGCCACTTTCAGCCTAAGGTGGGCAAAATGAAGGTCAGCCTCTGTACCAGTCCTCAGGGAACCATCAAACAGGTCAAAATGCACAACCACAAGTTTTTGAGAACGAGGTCCATGTTGCTTCCCTTGGCACCACAAGCCACACTAGGAACACAGGGTTCCATCCCCAAAGCCTCTGTCCAAGCTGTGGAATGGGGATTTGTAGATAGGTAAGGAAAAATGCTTTCTTAGTGAAATTTAGCAGCCTCTTTCTTCAGTAAGTGTCCCCCTGGTTGCTATAAGGTTTTTATTAGATTCCAGAATTCTAAAAAGTTGATTCTGTTTTTGCCAGCTTAATGATTGCTTCAGTGGAAGGATTAATTCTTAGAGCTCCCTGTTCTGCCATTTCTCTCACTCCCCCAACCTTAATGTTTTGGTTTTGTTTTAAGCAGCTTAAAACAACAAATATTTATTATCCCATATAGCTTCTCAGGGTCAGGAATCAACCTGCATCCTAGCTGGGTGCTTCTGGCTCAAAGCCTCTCGCAAGTTTGCATTCAGACAGGTTGGCCAGGGCTGTAGTCAAGGCTCAACCCGGACTGGATAGCTCCCTTCCAAACTCAGTCACGTGGTTGTTGGCAGGCCGCACTTCACACTGGCTGTTGGTGGAGGCGGCTCAGTTGCCCACCACACGGACCTATGCATAGTGCTGCTCGCAACATGGCCTGGTTTCCCCCAGAGCAATAGCTCCATGAGAGAAATACATCTCCCAAGTGTTTTGATTGTGTTATTTATTTATTTATTTTGGATGCTTTTTGTGTTCTTTATCCAACCCTGAGATAATTGTACTCTTCTTGAATGAGAGAGAAAATCTGAACCCTGGGTAATTTCTTAGTGGAGAGGAATTGGTTTGCCCTTCCCCAGAGGCGTTACCACTACGTGTGTCACTCAGCCGTAGAGATGGAACCAAGAGACCCCCAAGGAACTTCACATAGCCTTGGAGGAGCAGCAGACCCTTCCAGTTGACCTCTTATGCCCCCTCCCTCAGACCCCTGCCCTTCCTTACTCAGAAAGCCATGAAAATAAGCTTTCTGGACACCCAGGGCCTTAAAGATAACACTATAAACTACTTTTCCATTGTGTCCCCTTGTAGTGTGTTCAGTGGTTTGTTTTATGTAGGAAATATGTCCTTTTTGGTTAAAAAATGTATGTGAGAGGTGACGTGAGTGATTCTTCTGGAAGGCATTGTACTAGGCAGAGAGGACTGTAAAAAATGTGTGTAGAATAATGCCTGCTCTCAAGTAGCTTATCATATAGAGGAGGAAATAGGACAGGGAATTGATGAAAAATAAAATATCAGGCAGCATTTGTGCCCCAGAACAGTGGCTGCTGCAGTATTGATAAGGCAGATGCCAGCATTCTCTTAAAGTAATAAGAGAAGCAGAAAGAAAATATGGAAGTGGCTAGGAAAGAAGTGAAAGATCTTTGTGATTGTATTTGTTTTTCAGATCTGGTAGCATATTTCAGAGCATAATGATTTTTGAGAATTTTTTTGATGTCCTGCTTATAGGACCGAAGTTTTTTCCTCATCAATAATCAGCTTCATTCTCATTTAATTCTTTGCTGACATACAGAAAGACAGCATCCACATTTTTTTAATTTGAAAAAGTAAATTAGGTTCGTGTTCACAGTTTTATATCCACTGTTCTAATATCATATCAGTATTTACAGAGGGGTTCATAAAATGAATTAGCCATTGAGTCATAATAAGAATAGTAATGCAAGCCCAGTCTACCGATTTGCTAGCTACCATTTGTGCTTAAAGATGATAATGCTACTGGTGTTCTTTTGTTTGAATGGTTGCATCTGGAAGACAAGGTTGGGGGTAATCAGAGTGTCAGCCTCTTGCAAGATGACCTTTCCTTGGCAAGTGCATCTCTCCTCTAATGAGTGATATAGGCAGGTGTTAAATATCCCAAGTGAGGGTAGTTCTGCATGTTCTCATAGGTTATGATTGGAATTGGAAATAGGAGAAAGTATATGTAAGATTTTTTTTTACATTATTCAAATCTTTTTTTTTTAAAAGATTGTATTTATTTGAGAGAGAGAGAGCACATGAGAAGGGGGAGGGAGAGGGAGAAGCAGACTCTCCGCTGAGCAAGGAGCCCGATACAATGCGGGACTCGATCCTGGGACTTCATGACCTGAGCCGAAGGCAGTCACTTAACCAACTGAGCCACCCAGGTGCCCCACATTATTCAGATCTTAAGAGTGCTGTGGACTGGAGTTTGACCCATATGAGTGGGCTTGTGGGCTTGCTTCTGGAAAACTGCCCCTATATTCTAAAATATAGTGAAATAGAGCAACCTATACTCATTTTTATACATAGGAATTAAACTGTGGATTTTTCTTTTTCTATAATTTAGACTGTTGTAGTTATAGATTCATATCCACTCTAGTTACACAATTTAATTATTTCAGCTGGGGCCTTACATTTTATTTTCCCCCTTCCAAAATGTAATCCATATTGCCTCCTTTATTAATATGTTTCCAATTTGAGTATGTTCTTTTTTTCTTCCTCGTTGGCTACAGTTAAGCTGTGTTTTCATTTTTTTAATAAAAAGTGAATTCTAAATTTTCATTTAATTTTTCTTCCCTAGACAATTAAATCCCACACAGAAACAGATGAGAAACAAACAGAGAGCCGTACCATCACTCCACCTGCTGCACCCAAACCAAAACGGGAGGAGAACCCTCAGGTAGGCTTAGCCCTCCAAAGGCATGGTTCAGTCTGTGAGATGTGACTTATTCTCACAAACCAGGAGGGCGACTTGCTCTCTGAGTCACTTGATTTTCCTTTTCTTGTGCTTCCTCACTATTCAATAATGTATTGCCAAGTCGGTTTGGCCTAAAGCAGAATAAGAGTGTGGCCTGGAGTGTCTGTGAGCTAGCATACAGGCATTTCAGGCAATGTTACAAATTTGAAATGTAAGATTAATGATCATTTTCCCATGTATTCCTCATGATAATTATGTTTTGTTTGTCTCAGCCAACACTTCTAAGAGGTCCATCCAGTTCACTCAGTTAAGGTTTATTTATGTTATCGATTATAGTTGTTATATGTGCATTTTTGTTTCTACCATTGCATTGCACCTGATTCCCAAACCCCAAATGAATCAGTAGCCCGAAAGTTGTTCATTGAAGCCTAAAAGTAGGGATGAAAATAATAACATCTGTACTACAATTCAGGATAGAGTTATAAACTTACGTAGCAAACAGGACTGGTACAAGTACACAATGTGAATTTGTGTGTCCCCTTAGACAAGAGAATTTTTTAGTTTGGCTCTTGTATAAGCAGCTCTAAAAGAAAAATGTGGACAGGTAATATGATGATGAATATCTGATAGTTGGATTTTATTAGACCAGCAGTCTATTTCCTTCTGTCCTCAGTGCATTCTTTTTAATGAAACCATGTCAAATAGTGGCAGGAAGCTATCAAAACTTCATGTCATTTTTTTAAAGCAGTGATTTACTAATAAGTTAAGCCAGTTCAGGTTTTTCTAAAACAAGCCCAAATTATAATTCTTTCTGATATGAAATGGATTTGTTTTTAATTTATCTGTAAAGAAGGGGCCAGAACTTGAACCAGAAAGAAGTACCAGTGATGCAAATTGCTGAGGGACTTGTGAAGTCATCCACAAAATTAGCAAAGGAAGAGGATATCTTACGTTGGTGGCCCAGTGTGGGCGAGCAGGCACCACTACAATGTATAGTGGTGGATATTCCACCTTATAATTGGACAGAATCACTGCCATAAAGAGAATAAATTAGTTTTTGGTACACGTGTGATACATAATGAGGCAAAAGTTCTTGACAACTTTTTATTCTCTTTATCACTGAAAATCTGTTCCAGAGAAGAGGAGATTTTGTTTTTATTTAATAATTTTTTTTGTGAGCTTGAACTAGACTGGCAAAGATGAGTTGGATGTGACTGGCCAAGAAGAGTACTGTCACTTGATTAAAAGAAGGTGCTTCTGAATGTCAGACCACACACTGCTTTACAAACAGAGAACAGTTGGTAGACAGCCTTCTAATCCTGATCAGGTTGTGAAGAATAGTGAAAAGCAGGAATGTAGTTAATTGGCAGTCACAAAGTGTATGCCGCTTCAACATGCAGTGTGGCAAATGGGCAGCAAATCTAAGAGTGCTTTTCCTTACTAAAGTACGCTGGCTATTGGGGGATAGGCTCCCACCTAAGTTTTTGAAATAAGAAATAAAATAAAAACATTTCTTCAGAACCCTGAGGATACCAGTAAAGGACACTTCTGTGTTCTCAAGTGGCTTGTTCAGGGACTGTTTCTTCCTAAAACACTCAGTATCTTAAAGAGCTTGAATCTATCACTCTGGGCCAAAACATCATGGTATTGAATGTTGAAGGTAAGCTATCAGGATTTTTAAAGACCAAATGGTGATATAAACAATTCTGTAGGAATATGTCCTAACAATTGATGATATTCTTTATTGATAATAATCAGTGAGAGAAATTGATGATCTATTATTTGGCATATTTAGCAACCACATGCACATGAAGACATACTGTCAGACCACATGCAACTACAGAGCAAAATGGGGATTAGTTTGTTGCTCTCTCCACCTTTAAGCATCTAATGTTCCAGCTTTGGGGTTCAGTATTCTAATCAGTTTAACTTCTGATGGAGCGCTGAGAGTGGTCTCCAAAGAGAGATTCCTCCATAATTTTTAGGTCCGTGTTTGATTTAAAAACGGTAATATTAAGCAGAACCATCTGCTGTTGTTCCTAAAATTCATTTAGCTTTGAGTTAGCATTGTCCAGTCATTGGTAGTAAAAATGTAAGAAACCCTTGCCTGCTGTGACAAGTGAAGTACTTAGCATCTGGAGCTTGTTGTATGGGAGGCTCTTTGTAACCCTCTGCATGCTTTTTGAATATGAAATCCTCTTCCTTGTAAGAGGATTTTTCTGGGAAAAAAAAAAAAGACTTAGGGCACTCAAAGACGCTGATTTCTGTCATTGAGAAAGTGGAAGATGCAGGCCCCCGACCTTCTCTTTTGATCCTTATAAGATCAGAAAGCCTCCAGAGTGGCCCTGGAAGGTCTGTTCTTTGGTCACCTGAACCTGGCCTCCTTCCTTCAAGCAACCAGCCCGTTGGGCTGGCTTTGCCAAGAAGTCTAACTAGGAACATGCATTTGACTTTGTGAGAACCCAAACTGAAGTACATTCTTGTTTCTCTGGCACAGAAACTTGCCTTCATGGTGTCTCTAGGATTGGTAACACATGACCATCTAGAAGGTAAGAGAAGATATTCATGGTCCTGCCTTGCTTCTGGCCCAGAGCTTTGTTCTTGAAAATGGTGTTGAATTTATTGCTAGAATGTAGAACACTGGAATGCCAATAGAGTATGGTTCAGCTAGTGTGGACTTGCTTTCCTTTGGAGTCAAACTTGCCTTTCCTCTATCTGACGTTCATCCCCTCCCCTCCCTGTTGTCATCCACACTGCTGTCCAGGGGAGACTCCCCAGCTGCCTCTATGACTTCTGTTCACTTTAGAGGAACTCTTTTTTTTTTTTTTTTTCCTGACAGCACGAAGTATCAAATGCCCCTCTGACAAGTCTTTGTCTATATTTTTCAATCACTCTGGGTTATTCGAATCTTAAGAACAGTTACAAAGCTACACCTGTCCTAGTTATTTAACTCAAGACTGGTGAACTATGGTTACTCAGTCTAGGTCTGTGGATAAAGTTCATCCACACCTGTATTCCAGTGAACTACAAATAGATGAGGACAGCTTGTTTATATGTGTTGGCTGCTGTTAAGCTCTGGGTCACAGAGAGCCACACTGTGGGACAGCATGGTTTGCTTTCTGAGAGGTGAGAGTAAATGGTCCTACACCTTTCTTCCCAGCAGTGTGCTTGCCTCTGCTGAGGCTGCCGTGAAACAGAGGGATGTGCCCCCATTTCTCATTTGTCATGGGAAAACCAAAAGATAAACAGTGAAGTTCAGTTTTTGAGGTTCTCTATACCTCTCTTCTAATTCAAACCTTTTGCTTTCCCAAGAAATCCAAAGCAAGAGGCAAGAGCGAAAAAGAAGAACAACAGCAAATCCAGTATACAGCGGAGCAGTCTTTGAGCCAGAGGTATTCCTGGCCAGAACTTGGCCCTCCCCTCACAGTTCTAGTTTTATTTATGAATTTTTTCATCTCCTCCCATCTGAAAACCTACCGAGGAACAGTACCCTGATTATACTTGGCCAGCTTTTTGAAATGATGGGTTTTTCTCTGGCTAATCATACTGTTTCATTTTTATTATTCACTGCTTTCCCCTTAGTTTTTTCTGTAAGTTTGAGCAAATACAAGCCTACCTTAAAAATTTAACTCATCTTGGCTTCAACACAGCTGTCATCTGAAGCACAGGCAGACCTCTCTGGAATATTCTATTCTCTCAGAGCCAAGTATATGTAATAGAGCCCGTTAGCACTGAGACCTTGGGGTGACTTGCACTCAGTTGCTGGCATGTTGACAGGCATGCCGTGCTTGGTCTCTAGCTTGTGCCAATATTAGTAGTAACCATTCTATTCAACTAGTTACCTTTCCCTCTTCAATCCTCAAAGCGTAAGAAGAGTGCAGTCACATACCTGAACAGTACAATGCATCCTGGGACCCGGAAGAGAGGTGAGTACTTTTTTGTAGCTCTCCCTCGCTGTTGCTTCTGCTTTCTGTGTCGTGTTTCTTCCCCCTACTTCCTCCCCTTGTCCTAGAGCCTAACTCCTAAATCCCTTGAACATAGTTTTGTTGTTGTTGTTCTCTGAAAATGGGGGAAGAGAGTGATATTTCTCCTTAGAGTTCTGTATCCTGAATCGCAAGCTTCCTTTCTTAGGATTCTGGCAAAGCTGACTCAAGGAAATGGCTTAATACAGCATTTCTGCCCCAGGCCCACCAGGCTGTCCATGAATAGCACAGCGAACAGAACATTGTGTGAAAGGAAGCATTTTAGCATCACTGAGCAGAACAGAGCCTGCTGTTGCCAAGGTGTTCTTAGTAGTGTCTAAGTCATCCTGCTGCCGGCGAGACCAGAGCATGACTCGGGTTTCTGTGAGCTGCAGACTTTCCAGGAAGGAGAGACGTAGCCACACTGAGAACTTAGAATCTATGAGTTGAGGGCATCTCCAGCTAAGGAAGCAAGGTCATCGTCGAAACAGGCTCCCCGAAGTAGAAGTTCCTAAAGAGCACCGTCCCCATATTTCAGGCCTTGGGGGGCAGCTGGTGCCCCTTCCTTGTGGGCGGGGCAGAGGCAGCAGCCCTCCTTGTAGGTCTGAGTAGGTCTTAACAGCTCTGAGTTTGAGCTCATAAACAAGGTTCTAAAATTGTTCTTTGATGTCAGTAATACATCCCAAGGTCCCTTTCTCCACATGATAGTGTGTCCCTGAAATACATTCCAGGCTAGAAAGGTTGCAGAACAAGTAGAGTAGCATACTAATTTTTGCATAAGCACACACTGTCTCAGAGCTCTTGGAAGCCTAGGAGGTCATCGCGACCCTTGCGGCAGGGCTGCCAACCGTAGCATTACCACCTCCTCACCCAAAAGAGAGAGTGTACCTGCCCTCAGTGACCCATTATAATGTTTCATTACCTACCTGTGCTTTAGGTGGCAAAAAAATATTTCCATGGGAAATCCTACATCGTTGCTTCCTATTGATTCCTGGGCCACAGTAACCAGTGTCGTGGGTTATTTTTTGTTGTTTTATTTTTGGCAATTTTTAGTGACCTCTGACCTAGTTCTCAGAAAGGAGCCCCCAGTCAGAAGCCACAGTTAATTGGTGTGCTGGTGGGGAGTATCTGCTAAGAGGACAGGGGTTAAACGAGCCAGAAAGACCTTGGCATCACTTGCCAAGGTCAGAGGATGAAAGCCTGTATTCACAATGCCTAGATGTGCCTTCTGTGGGTAAACAAAGAGCATTCATCTTTCACTTCCCCTTTGGGCAGCCCTAAATTCCCTTTGTACTGCAGACATTGCCAGTTTAACACAGATAGGTAATATTTGTGTGATGTCTGACAGAATCATGACTCTTGTGCATAATCCTGATATAAATTATAACTGTTGGCAAAGTTGTGAACCTTTCACCAGTGCTTGTAGGCAGTTGTGTGCCTCTCTGGCTTTTTTTTTTTTTTCCCCATTTGCCGTGCTGAACGTATACTTTTGATCACTCAAAGCTTAAAAGCTTTGATCCTGGCCCTTCTGACAAGGACCCTGGCTTAGATGTATCATAAAGCAGGAGTGGTTGACCAGTCTTGCCACACCCATCAGAGTCCATTTATAGATCCTCTGTAGCCTCGAGGCTTGATTCCCAGTGCTCTTGTTCCAGTCAGTCTTTCAGCAGCATTGCTGATGGCAGGGCCTTTTCTTAGATTTGGTGACAGGCCCCAGTCCTTAGACATGTAGTTCACTAGAGTGTTTGTGACGGAAGCGGAGAGACAGTTCTTGATCATCCGGGGAGGGAATCTGGCTCCAGACATACTTAAAATCATTGTCAAGCTCAGATCATTTTTTTAGCTCTTAGGTTCCAGCTAGTCCCAGAACATATTTCTCACTAGCTCTACTAGCAAGGGGTAAGAATAGTTAACTTGAGTTTTGCCTCCTCAGTTTGCCTTTCTCCACCCTCACAAGCAGTGAAATGACCAAAATATAGATAGGAAAGAAAAGGAAAAGCAGAAATCCTAAATAAATCCATTTGTGGGACCAGGGAATCATTAATGATTATAAGGATGATGGTTACAGAGAAACCTTAGAGAACAATATGTAGAAGTGGGAAAATAAACTCTTACTCCTAGCTGTGGCCCTCTTTGAGCTTTGACATCTTGTTCTCACGCTAGAAATCTCAAGTCATAATAGTCCCGGAGTGTCACCTTGATCCACCCAAGGCCAGGCCCTTTGACATGACGCAGCCCTCCTGTCATTCTCCAAGGCTCTCTTATCCTCCTTTCTTTTGAGACCCATGCAGTTGTTTCTAATGACATTTAAATCTTTGCTTCACTTCCTCTCTCTGGGACTGTTGTATTAACCTTCTGTCTGCTACCTCACTTCCTTTTCCATGCTAGCCAATGAGGAACACTGGCCAAAGGTATGTAAGATCATTTTTCCCCCTTTCTTTCCCTTCCCCTTTTTTCCCTTTTGTTCCCTTCTCTTGGTATATAGGTCGTCCTCCAAAATACAATGCAGTGCTGGGGTTTGGAGCCCTTACCCCAACATCCCCCCCATCCAGTCATCCTGACTCCCCTGAAAATGAAAAGACAGAGACCACATTCACTTTCCCTGCACCTGTTCAGCCTGTGTCCCTGCCCAGCCCCACCTCCACAGACGTAAGTAACTTGGGAAAAGCATGCTCTCTTTCTGAGAGCTTAAACTGGGGAAACCGTTATCATGTGTTGTCTCCTTACCAGCTGCATCTCCTTGACTAACCCTGGAACAGCAGTAATCCCTACAGGACCCTGTATACCATGTAAGGCAGCTTTCTGCCAGGGCCCCAGGTCCTGCCATGTCCTTGAGAATCACCTACATCAGGAGGCTCAGTCAGAGTTTTTAAAATCTGGATTTGATCTGCTGTGAATGAGTTCTCAGGAAGGGGGATGGGGTGGGAAGTCAGCTCATATACTTTAAAGGTGCTCAGGTTTCCATCGTCTGTGTTTCGGGGTGAGGAAAAGGAACAAGGTGCACTTTCCCCCAGCAGTCCTTGTTTCCTGCTTCAAGTAGAATTCAAGAAGTGGAAAACTTTTCCTTCAAGCAGCTTTATTCAGCAGAATTGATCAAACAGGTTCCTGAAAAAGTTTAGTGGCCCTGCATGTAGAAACTGCAGGATGGTAAACTAGTATCCTGAGATTTTGGTTTTTTTGTTTGTTTTTATTTTACTTATTTTTATGCTTTTAATTTTAATTCTAGTATAGTTATCATACAGTGCTATATTAGTTTCAGGTGTACAATATCGTGATGCAACAATTGGATACAGTACTCAGTGCTCATCATGATAAGTGTGCTTTTTAATCCCCTTTACCTATTTCCCCCAGCCCCCCACCCACCTCCCCTCTGGTGACCATCAGTGTGGTTCTCCCACAAGCGCCCTAAGATTTTAAATGAGCATTTACAAAGCAGTGAGTTTAGTCAGCAAATACTTCCTGAACACTACTCTGCTGAGCAAGTGCTGTTGTTGAGGCTGGGGATAGAACAGGGAACAAAACCAACTCCCTGCCCTCAAGGAGCTCCTATTACAGGGCCAGAGGCAGGCAATAAGCAAAGGAACACATAAAAGGTAATGATAAGTGCTATAAAGAAAACTGGGACAGAATAAGGGCAATAAGACATAATGGCAGCAGGCTCCTATTTTATGAAGAGAGGGAAGAGAGCCTCTCTGGTAGGAAGTGGAAGGTGTGAGAGTATACCATGGGGAGAGCCTTCCACGCAGAGGGAACAGCAGTGCAGAAGCCGTGAGGTAGGCACGTACATGGTTTGGAGGAGAAGCTAGAAGGCCAGGACAGCAGGGCAGAGGGAGTGCTGAGATTTTGGGAGATGGCACTCCAGAGGTGGCAGGGCCCAGGGTGCAGGGCCTTGGGGCTTTTACTTGGAGGGAGATGGGGGAATCACTGGAGGGCTTTGAGGAGAGGAGTGACGTTAATTTTTCAACTTTTTATTTTGAAAAATTTCAAACTTACAGAGAAGTTGGAAAAAAATACAAAGAACAAATATATACCTTCCACCCAGATTCACTGGTTATTACCATTTTGCCACATATGCTCCCCTCCGCACACACACACATTTTGCTGAACTAGTTAAGAAGTTGCAGACACCATGAATCTTTACCCGAAACCCTTCAGCATGTATCTTCTAAGAACAAAGATATTCTCTGATACAGTCACAACGCAGTTATCAAATTGAGGACACTTAATATTGAGTAAATATTATTCTATAATATATATTCCATAGTCAGGTTTCTCCAGTTGTCTCAATAATTGCTTTAGGGGCACTTTGTTTTTTCTGCTCCAGAATCCAGGTTAAGATCACTCTTGATATTTGTTGCCATGGTATTGTCTCTTTCGTCTCCTTACTCTGGAGCAGTTTCTCAGCTTTTCTTTGTCATTCATGACATTGGCATTTCTTAAAAGGTAGGCCAGTTTCTCTGTAGAGTGTCCCTCCATTTGGATGATCTGATTGTTTCCTCAGGAGTAGACTCGGGGTATGCATTTTTGTAGGAACACTAAATATGAGATGGTGAGTCCTTTTCAGCACACCACAACGAGCAGCACGTGCCGTCAGTCGGTCTGTCCCGCTGTTGGTGATGTTAGCTTTCATCCTTTAACATAGATCACATCAAATTTTTCCACTTGTAAAGGGGCCTCTTTTCTCTGGCAGAGATAGCTTTGAGTCTGTATAAATATCTAGTTCCCCAACAAACTGTTACCCAGTGGTTATAGCGTCCTTTGATGGTTCTTGCCGGCGTTTACTGTTTTTAAGGTGTTTACAAAATCAACTTGGATTTTAAAAGGATCACTGTGTCTGAAATCTGGAGAAGAGACTGTGGAGAGGACAGGATGGGAGCAGGGAGACCAGTTAGGAGGCAAGAGCTGAGGACGGCTTGGCCTGGGAGGGTGGTAGATGTAGAGATGGAGGAAAGTGACCAAGTCTGCATATATTTTGAAGAGCCAGCAGGATTAGGTATGAGGTAAGAATAGTCAAAGGTGAATCCAGAGTTTTCGGCCTGCGCAACTAGCAGGATAAAACTCATTTACTTGAGATGTCAAAAGGAGCAGGTTTGAGGAGGGAAACCAAGAGTTTCATTTTGGACATGTCCCATTTCTTTTGTGAATTACAGAGCTTGTCTTTAGGATCATCTTCAAGTAAAATGTCCCTTGAACTGGAAGGTTCTCGTGCTTACTAATGATCTACCCTTGTCCAAAGAACAAAAGACTACTATATGCACATTCTGAGTTAAAATTCTAAAAGCAGCAAATGGAAGTATCCTCTTTGGAGGACCGGGTAATAGTGGAGTTCTGTTCTCTGGCAGCCTTCCTTCCTTGGACATAACTGATGACTACAGACTCAGCCTTGCTCTTGAAATTCAGAATTTCATCCAGCCTGCCTGACTTTTGGCATTAGTAATTGATACAGGTTTTCTACCTGTCCCGAGTAATGAGTACCAGGAGTTCTTGTCAGAAACCTTGTTTGCTTGTACCAAAGATTGTCCCAGCTTTTCTGCAGCTGAAGCATTGCCAGAGGGATTGCCGGCTTATGACCTCTTGGTGGGGGTCTCCCACAGTGTGATGTACAAATGCCAGGGAACAGGTGATTTTGTGGTTCTGCGTGTGAGTCCCTTTCCTAAACGTTGACCCCCTAATGGGGGTCTGTGGCTTTCTTTGAGAGACTGAACTCGAGGGATCTACTCAGATCAAATCACAAAGTAAAAGTTTCTGCCAGGTTTTGTCTTAAAATGCAAACACTGTTCTTTTCAGAAATCCAAAGGTAAAAGAAGCCTTTTCTAAAACCACTAAATATGTTAGAACTTCCTAAGTTAAACCTAGGGGAATGGATTTTTTTTTAAGACAATTGACTTCTACTTTTACAGTATCCCAACAGTGGCAGTGATTAAAATCACACAAGACTCTGTATGTTTGCTGGTGGGTAGGACAACGCCCAACAACATTAATTAAACAATCACAGCTGAGTGGCAAGCATTTCCTGGGGATCAGTAACTGTCTAGAAGGACTTGGTAATACAAAACCCAGCCAGACACTAATCCTCAGGATATAACTTGTTGCCACAATTGTTTTATGAGAAGGGAAGATATGTTGACATAGTTATAAAATTCTTTTAGCAAATGATGAAGTTGCAGTTGATACAGCCAGGGTGTTTGCAAAAAACATACATGCTTGGCTCCTAGCAAAGAATCATGGGTCACCATTTTTCAATTTAACATTTGGTTTATGGTAGTAATTCAGTCACCAAAGCCTGAGCCTTTTGACCTGGAGCAGCACCTCCATGGGACTTCCTATGCTCTCTTTAAGCTAAGCAGAGAACCCATTCTGGGTAGATAAAATCCATACCTTGGCATTTTATTATTCATTTCTATGGGTAGTCGTTCTCCAGGTGTGGTCCCTGAAACTCTTTTCGGGATCCATAAAATCGAAACTATTTTCATGATAATACTAAAATATTCTTTGCCATTTTCATTCTCTTTCTCTCAAGAGTAACCAGTGGAGTTTTCCAGATATTACATGCCCTGTAACGATGTCATGACTCTGCTGGCTCATGGGATGTGCGCTTGTGTGTTCTGGGGTTTTACAGTTTTTTGGTATACTATTTTTGTAACTTCCTGTGATTCTGTAATTATTTCAAAATTGAAAACTTAAAACTTCTAATGCAGTAAATAGCAATAAGTATAATTCAAATAATATATAAATAAATACAAATAAAAGCTCTTTGAGGTCCTTAGTAATTTTAAGATTTGTAAAGGGGTCCTGACATGGAATAGACTGAGGACTGTTGCTCTAGAACATGGAAATAGGATATGAAGTCGTCTTTTCTTCTGAAACTTGAAAGAAGTTATTTAACCTTTATTTTACATGCTGTCTGCCCTCCACTTCTTGATGTGCTCCTACTCAGAAACAAAAGGAAGTGAGCAGGACTCTTTACCCAACAGAATAAGATGTCCAGTTTGTTTTGTCTACTTCACCACTGGTAATTTATCTAGGATTCATGTGAAACAGTCTGTGAAACCTTAAAATTTTTATAAACTTCATAAAGATGCAGACTCACACAGGACTCAGGTTCAAGAAAGACTGTTTCTCTAGAGAAGAGTGCCTTTCACCCTGATTTTAAGAATGAAAGAAGAAAGTTACAGTTAATTGAGGGATGAAACCTTAACCTCTTCTGTTGCCTCAAAGCTGAACTTTAAGGCTGCACGCTCATGCAGTATTTTTGCTCATACACTGAGTATCTTTTTTATTGCCCAGAGATAACATTTTCTTACTAAGAAAGACTAAAATGAGTCCACACTCTGATTATCTTACAACCTTTCGCAGCCGGTTTTCTAGGTTCTGCATACCCTAGTGAATTAAGAGAAAGTTTCCTTTTCTTTAGAGAGAAGCTGTAGATCTGGGAAGATAAGTTCCTCCAGCAGTGGTGGCTGAGGGGTTATATAGCATAGAAAAGAAGACTTGAGCATTGCTGTCTGTGCAGAGTTTCTGTATCAGGCTTTCTGGCAGAACAGCCTAGAAATCTAAACCAACACACTGGAAGCAAAGAGGGGGCTCCAAGCTGTGGCGCTGCCTTGCTGGCTAACCTCTGGCACGTCCCTTCAGTCTTCCTTCCCATGTGTCTTTATCAGTCCTGTTCCCAGAACAGGCCAGGGATGGATCTGCTGAAAAAAACCTTTGACCTAAATACCTTCCCCCCCCCCCACCCCCAGTGTCTCCTCTCCAATTTAAGTAGATCTGCTTTTTTCTGATGGGGCCTTCTGTTCAGAGGGCTCCAGCAGACTTACCTGAGAACTAGCACTATCAGTGGTAGGGGCGGGGAGACAGGCAGAGGGGCTGCTCGTCTTTTTCCATCTGGCGACGTGTTTTATGGGGAGGAATAAAGCCTCCCAGCATAGAATGGCCCATTGCACAGCAAATGCCAAATAGTGGTTTTAAGAGAACATTATCAGCTGTTGCTCTGGCTTTTTAAATTCTTCATGTTAGAAAGCTCGTGTGAGTGTAATTTGTTCCTGACTTAATCTTTTCCCATTTGAACATGCTCTGTATTTTTTTCTCCCTGAGCAAGCAAAGAATTTAGTAAAATTCCATTTCTTGTCTGTCGTCTTTTCCCAATCCTGAACTCCCCTGAAAATAATAGGTAATGAGAATTGTTTGTATCATATTGTGGAACACTTTGATAAATGGATTTCAGTGGCTTCAAACTTTATGACTTCTGGGTTTGGGCTCTACCAAAACATAAGTGCTGAGCTATCACCTGTAAAGCTAATTTGGGCCTAGGTGATTACACGACTTTTCTGTCAACTCTAGTTTGAGGATACTGTCCCAACTCTAGTTTGAGGATACTGAGGCCCAGGAAGCCTCAGCTATATGGAGTAGGTGGGGGCTGTGCCATTGGTAATTCCTTCTTTCCTCGAATACTTTGGTAACATGTTGGAGGGGGCACAGCTAATTGTCCTGAAACATACATGTCCAGAATGTGCACATTAGCATTCACGTTTTACCTTTTTTGTCCTTTCTCTTACCTTTCCTCTCAATTTCCTAGGGTGATATCCATGAGGATTTTTGCAGCGTTTGCAGAAAAAGCGGCCAGTTGCTTATGTGTGACACGTGTTCCCGTGTGTATCATCTGGACTGCTTAGACCCTCCTCTGAAAACGATTCCCAAGGGCATGTGGATCTGTCCCAGATGTCAGGACCAGGTACCATGGGTGGGTCTGACAGAGTGATGGGCTGAGGAGGAGAAAGTGTGCTCAGGAGGACCTCCTTTCCCCTCAGATCTGGGGGAATGGCGGAGTCTCTTCCCTCTCCTGGTAGTTCCCCTGGGCACCTCTGGGCTGTTCGTGGCACCGCACTCACCCACGTAGCGTCCATCCTCTCAAGCTTCTCTGTCCTATTACTGAGGTGGTGAGTCTGTGTATAGGTGGAAAGACTCTAACTGCTTCCCTTTATTTAAAATGACTTATCTTCTCATGACCTTGCTCTTTCAAAGCCATAAGACTTTCCGCCTCTTTCTCTAAGAATGGTCCAAACCCAGTAGGTGGTTTTGAGACTCTTCTTTTGGAAATAAAACCCTTAAAGGAAAGTGCCCAATTGACTCTTTAATTCAAATAATAACAGTTTCACCTTTAACCTATGTCATCACCGGGATCAGAGAACTAACTGTAAAGTGGCCATCTTACTATTTCATGGGCTTGAAACTGTCCTAGCCTCTTCCCTTCTTCTCTGTTTAGTTTCTGGCCTCTTTTTCTTAACTATCCATGTACCTTTATGTTTTTATGATAAGCTGTCTCAGTCTTTTTAGAAGTAGGCAAAGTATAAATAATAAATAGACCTAATAGCTCAGCAAGCTTTGGCATGCTGCTCAGGTCTTTGGAATCCTGTTTGAGAGAATTCTGGTTTTCCCCTTTTCATTCTAGTCTGCATTCTACCGTCTTTGCCAGGTAGTAGAGACCAGCCTCTCTGTGTTCTCTCCTGAAGCTGCTCTTTGACCATCTGATAATTTTCTGCACAAGGTCCAGATTATACTTTAGTACTTGGAACTGACATTTCGTTTCCTTGGTCAGGCTATCTTTGAGGGACATGTAAAGCGACACCTGAGACAGGCCGGTCAAGGATGCCAGTGGCTCTGGCGGCCCGGGTTGCTGGGCCTCGTATGCAGCGTACATGAGAAGCTGGGAATGCCCAGCCAGGTCCCAGCCTCTTTCCAAGCTGGGGCTCGAGTGGCTTGGCTTTTCCTGTCCTTGAAACTCATCCTATCAGGAGCATCTGGAACTTCATAGTCTAGAAAGTACAGACCAGGGTTTTGCAGCCGTGCCACCATAAGTCCACCATAAGACAAGACACGTTGCTTGTCACTACGCAGGGGATGTGTGTTTATACCTCCTTTCAAGGTAAAATTCTAAACCTTGTTTCAGATGCTGAAGAAGGAAGAAGCAATTCCATGGCCTGGAACTTTAGCAATTGTTCATTCCTATATCGCCTACAAAGCAGGTAAAGAATCATCCACACCCCCTTTTGTGGAAGCCTCCCCTTGCTTAAAAAAAAAAAAAGTACGGGAAGGCTGCATTTGTTTTGTTTTCAAAAGGAAATTTAAAGTTACAAATGAAAAGCTTTTCTTGAACAAACTGAAAAGTTTGTGTAGTATTTTCTTAGGGAGGAAAAATGAGAAGCAGCATCTTACTTAGAGCCAGGCCCACACCACTGACAGTTTTCTTAGCATACCTGGCTATACACCGAATAAGGGAAAGTCTAGGTGGGCATGATCTGCACGCTGACTGGAGCTTAGGGGAACTTTGGGCAAAATGCCTTCTTTGGCCAGCATTCAGAAAATAGTGGCCTTTTCAAAGAATTTATTGTTAAAAACAGTTTCTTTTTTTGTTTTTCAGCAAAAGAAGAAGAGAAACAGAAATTACTTAAATGGAGTTCAGATTTAAAACAAGAACGAGAACAACTAGAGCAGAAGGTGAAACAGCTCAGCAATTCTATAAGTGTAAGTAAAGCTCATGCCTTCAGCAATGGATACAGATAGGAGGACCCTTCCACGTGCACAATAGTCCATGTGGCTCCCGAGGGCGGATTCGGGTCCTTTAGCTTGTTAACACAGGTAACTTGGGATGGATGCAAAGTTTGCCTGCAGTTACAATTTGGCCCTCAGGACAGGTGGCCAGTTGGTATATGGTGTCTTCACCAAGCTCTGGAACCTCCCAGTGGCTTTGACCTGAGAGAGGATTTTCAGTCTCCAGGCTAAAGAGATGCAGTAGCAGCTACAGCAGGATGGCCACCACCCCTGTGTGTTCCTGAGTGGGTTTGGGAGGAGTATGAAGCCTCTCCCCATGCCAAATAGACACAAATCAGGTCCCTGCATAGAAGCCTTGCTAGTCGTCCTAGTTAGCGGTCTGTCTGCATGGCCCGTCGCTCCCATCCTTTCTTCCACACCCTGCTGATTGCGTCTCCAGGTTTTCCTGACCAGCCTGAGAAAGAGAGGTTCCTGGAGACAAGTACTGGAAGTAAATACTGCCCGGCCTGGCCTGTCCAGGTTGTATTTGCAGCAGAGATTCTGAGGCTCCTCCAGAGCAAGTTTTATTTCTCTTTGAGTAGGTACCCCTCCCCTTGTTGGAGCCAGGTGGCCTCAGCCCTCGTGGACAGGAGGTGGGACCCTGGACTTGGTGGCAGTTGGGCTGTCCCACTCCACTGCTTTCTCCTTGTCACCATACTCCCCATGGCATGCAGGTTTCATCTCTCTTCCTGCCTAGAACAGAAGCCAGCAGCTGTGGGAGACCTTGGGCAAAAGGGCAAAAGACTACAAGTCTATGACCGAGCAGAAGGGTTTCTGTTGGCTGCAGTGTTTGATTCTCCCAAATATCACTGTGCTACCCCAGGCCTGCCTCTAAATTCTTGCCGACCAAGTGATCCTCAGTAGCCCTCAAATTGGATCCAGATACCACTGGCTCATTTTCTACTCTCGAAAGCTCAGTCCGGTCCTGAGCACATTAGCACCCATTTGCAAGGCAGAGGCATACCAAAACCTGCCCAAACCAGCCTGAGCGCAGCTCTGGGAATGTTGTTTTTAAATTGCTTTTATTTTGTAGCGTTGGAGTGGTAATTCACATTTGGTTTTAAGTCCTAGTGTCAAGCAGGGTTGGCTCTTAAACCACTCACTCGTTGGGCGGTAGTGCCCCCTCCAGTGCAGAGCAGAGCAAGGTCTAGGGGCTGCACACCAGCCAGCAGGGTTCTTTTCCCTGGAGAGAGCTGCCAGGCCTGTCAGAAAAGCCACGGAGGTTCAGTGCCACTGCCCTTCTCATTTGCTGCAGAAATGCATGGAAATGAAGAATACCATCTTGGCCCGGCAGAAGGAGATGCACAGCTCCCTGGAGAAGGTAAAACAGCTGATCCGCCTCATCCACGGCATCGACCTCTCCAAACCTGTAGACTCTGAGGCCACTGTGGGGGCCATCTCCAACGGCCCGGACTGTACCCCCCCTGCCAACGCCGCCACCTCCACGCCGGCCCCCTCCCCCTCCCCCCAGAGCTGCACAGCGAACTGTACCCAGGGGGGCGAGACTAAATAACAGAGCCCCGCCAGGAGAAGCCGCGGGCTCCCGGCGGCCAGGAGAGCAAAAACACTGAAGACTCTAGAAAAGCAAAGCCGGATTTCTTCTGGAAAGTACAGAATTCTTTTGGTTCTTTGGTTCCAGAGAGAGAGAAGATGCTTGTGCCAGGTGGCACCGGAGTTTGCCAATTGATCCTTCTTATTCTGTGTGTACATGCAAAGATTGGACCATGTTACATGAAATAGTGCCAGCTGGAGGTTCTTTGCCAGCACCATGCCAAGTGAAATAATATATTTACTCTCTCTATTATACACCAGTGTGTGCCTGCAGCAGCCTCCACAGCCACCATGGGTTTGTTTGCGTTTTGTTGGGTGGGGAGCAGGGACGGGCGGAGGGAGGAGAGCAGGTTTCAGATCCTTATTTGCCGAGCCGTTTGTTTAGGTAGAGAAGACAAGTCCAAAGAGTGTGTGGGCTTTCCTGTTTCTAAACTTTCACTACTATAAAACCAAAAAAAAGGAAATCGAGATTTAACCAACCCCAGTGCCCAGAGGAGGGATGGGAGGGAATGGGAGGGAGCCGGGGTGGGAAAAGTCTATCAAATAAGCAGTATTTCCTATTGTCTGGGGTGGGGCACAATGCACGGGGAAGTGGACGCCGAGGACAGCCTCGGGGTCCTTCTCCCGCACGCTCCGCCTCCCGCCCCAGGCGCCCCCACCACTCCCGGCGTTCCTTCCCCCGCTTTGGCAAATTGGCGCGCATCCCCGTGGATGATCCGGTTACCTTCCCTCTCCAAGAACAGGCAAGAGGCCTGCTTGGCGGGCCATTGCCCGGGGCAGGGAAGAAGGGTGTGTGTGTCCAGGAAGGAAAACAAGGTGGATCAGTGATTTTTACTTGAAAACAAGCTCCATCCCTTTTCTATATTTATAAGAAGAGAAGATTCTGAGCGAAGCAGCACGCGACCCAGGTGTGTGTGAATTGAATGGAGATGTTTCTTTTCTCTTTTTTTAAATTTTTGTTTTGTTTTGTTTTCTTTAAGAAAAAAGTTTTATTTTGTTGTTTATTTTACTTTTTTGGTAACAAAAACTAAAATAAGGAATAGAAAAGCTGTTTTTCAGGCTGACAGTCAATTAAGGGTAGTCGAGGCCGTGCATGGTAGAATAGGAATCATAGTGTCAGTGAGGTCCAGTGAGTCCGTGTGAGTCCTTGTGTCATCGTTCGGGGCACTGTTTTTTATGCAAGGGCAAAAATCTTTGTATCTGGGGAAAACAACAACAACAACTTTTTTTTAAATTAAAAAGGAAAATAAAAGATATTGAGGTCTTCCTAGTGTTACTTAAATTAAGATCAAGGTAAGAAACATTGTAAAAAAAAAAATTACAAAAGTGCTATTTGTTTCCTAAAAACAGTGATTTCTATTAAAAAGGTGTCAGAACTGGAGAAAATGCTGTGTAGTTATAATTTTTTAGCACAGAACCTGCTGATCATGATGACATTTTGCTGTGTTTGTGTCTCAAGACTGGTGGGCTAGTTTCCATGATTTCTGTCCTCTGGACGACTGCAGCCCTGACGGGCAGCGGCCGAGCCCTCCCACCACTCTCCCCTCCTCGGAAAGGACTGTCCTCTCTTCTTGGCGCAGGGATCTGGGCTTCTGTTTTTGAAGCCCACATGGAGTGTGGATGGTATCAGGGCCCTACCCTACCCATTGTCTCCTCGGATTTTGCTAGAGCAAAAGGCTGGTGCCTAAATAAGATCCCTTCCTTTGGTGCTGCTCTCCGTCTTTCAGCCACCAGCATTGTGAGTGCCTGGGGGACAACTTTGAAGGACACGGCCAGTGACACTCATTGGTGCCCAGGCACCCTGGCCTTGGCGGGAGGGTGCAGGGGGCAGGCTGGCTGCATCAGCCCTTGGTGCTGAGAAAGAACAAAGGAGTGAGAGGTCTTGAGGGTACATGGTGTCTCTGAGACAAAGAGCCCCAGGGTGGCCTTTGTGTCTGTCTTGCCTTTGAAGAGGTCTGACTCTCCAGCTGCTTTCTCTGCCTGCTGGCTCCAGGTACCGGCAATAGAGTTTACTGCCCTTTGCCCATCCACAAGCTTCCTGGGCGACCTTTGGCTAGAATCGCTGTGCTTGCCTTGGCTTGGCCTGTCTGTTCCTTGAGAAAACCAGGGTTCTGAAAGACTCGGACCATTTCTATCATCTTGCCTTGTGGGAAGTAAATTTTGTCAGGTGTGTGCCCTCATTGGAGACCTTGGCCCATCACATGCCTGGCCCATCACGTGCCTGGCCCACAGGAGGGAGGCAGGTGCTCGTCGCCCCGGCTCTTCTGGGACAGCTCTCCTAAGCCCGCCCCATACTCATGATAGCCAGAGTCTAGGAGGGGCAGAAAAGGTCCCGTTAGTTTCTCCCTCGCCCAGTTAGGCCCAGAGATCCCAGTTAGAAACCTGAAAGCAAATTCAAGAGAAAGGGATGCTTCTTAGGTCAAATATGCCTCATCTCTACTGGCCATTTCCCCTTCCCAGGAATGTTAGGGAATTAGTTGTTGTTCTACAGGCCTCAGAGTCAGGCCCTGGCTTCGAGGTTGCCTGAGAGGGACAGAGGAGCTCCCTTTTCTCCTGCAGAAACCAAGGTGCTAAGTCTAGTCAGGGAGCTTTGGAGATGCCTGGACTAGTTGGAGGAATAGTTGGCGGAGGTTCAGAGCCCAGCAGCGGGCTGTGCGCCTGGTCTTAAGCTCTCCCATTTGACTTGTCTGGGCCCAGAGACTGGGAGTTGTGACATGATACCTGTCTTTTCTTGAAAGAAGTTAGGAAACGATCATCACTAGAGGCCTTTGCTCGGAAAGGAGCTGCCTGCGAATTCTCGGGGTATCGGGGGGAGATGGGGCGTGGGTAGAGCTAGGCACTGACCAGCATTTTGCCTGCTGCTGTGAGTACTCACACTCTGGCCTTGCCTGGGGTTGGGATGTGGAGTCTTCCTAAGTGCAGGTATGAGCTGTTCTGTGAGTCAGCTAGTGTGGAGTACAAATGCAACCCTGCCCCCAAACCCCCACATTCTGGACTCAAATCCCAAAACTCTACTTATTGCCAAGAAAAGGTCCTGGTCTCCCCGTTTCCTTTTCCTCTACTGTCCTGCCAAGAGAAGACCCTCTGTCTGTGCCCTAGACCTGCGGGTGCTTGTGACCACCTGAGACGCGCATTCATGCCTGCCTCACCTGGGCTGTCCCCACCTCCCTCTCCTTTGCTGCTCTTTGGCCATGCCCGGGTTTAGCTGCTCACGGGCACATCTCAGACCAGCTGGCTTCGCAGTCACTTCACATGCCAGGGAGTGGCTGGTCTGGGGCCCTTGATCAGGAGGCCAGTGGCGCAGGCACTGCACCCTGGAGCTGGTGAGCTCATGTTGCTGTCATCTTCCCGCCTCACATTCTTGCCAGTGCCGCCCGCAGGTCCTTTTTCTTTCCTGGAGCCTGCTGGGTCTTGTCTCACCGCTGCTGCGCTCATCCAGAGGTCTGCTTTCTCCCTTCTTTATCAGGCCCTTTGTGGCAACCGGGCTCGGGGCAGCCCCCAGGTGGGGCCTTCCCTGGGTGGCGCTGCCCTGCGGTCACCTCCAGCCAGCAGCATCTGAGTGCCCGGTTTCCCTGCGAGGCCTGCCTGTCCCGGCTTCTTCCTGGCTCAGGCTCGACAGGCAGTGCGAACAGGCACAACAGCCGCCCCACGCCTCTCCCCGCAAGTGAGGGTGACTGTTTCCCGCTAAGTCTGCATGTACGGTTGCTCCTCCAGCCATCTCCGATTCTTCCTCTTGGGGCCAGCAGAGCCTCTCTAGGCTCTCATCCCAAGTCACATGACGAGCTCTAAGCGGTTTCCTCCCTTCACTCCCTTTTAGGGTGTGGTCTTTCTGATTTATTCAAAGGGCTTAATTTAGGAGACTTTTACCCCAGGGGTAAAAGGCTCTTCTGGGGTAGTAAGATGGATGGTGGCCCAGGGATTCTCCAGGCCCTGGGTTCTCCAGATTCCATGGCTTCTGTTGGATAGGGGCAACTTCGCTCTGTGTAAATGACTGTGGGCCTCACCCCCACCCCTCAGCTGGGCACCCCTGGCAGGAAACAGGAGACCCATTCTCACCCTGACTTACAGCTGTCCTCGGTGTCCGCTCCTCTCCAAGGGAGGGGGTGGCCCCCAGGAAGATTTCCCTGGCCCTCCAGCATTACTGAAGGGGAGGACGCTGAGGGTCGCTCCCTCCAGAGAGCCAGGGTGGAACTCTAAAGCCCTTGTAAGAAGGGCAGGACTCACAAATTCCACTTTACTACCCCCCCGCTCCCCACGAGGCCCTTCCTCCCTGAGGACTCTGCCATCCCCCACAGCAGCCTTTGGCCCCTGTACCTCTGTGTCGTTGGGTCCTCAGTCCAGGGTAAGCTGCAGTCAGGCAGGACAGGACGGGCAGCCAGAGGTCAGCAAGCTCCGAGCAGAAAAGAGCCAGCCAGCCCCCAATCCTGTCTCTTTGTCCACGCCCTTTGTGATTTCAGTCTTGGTAGAACTTGTATTTGGAGTTTTGTGCTTCAAAGTTTTTGTTTTTGTTTGTTTCATTTTTGTTTTGAGGGGGTGGGGGGGGATCCAGAGCAGCTGATCAATTTGTATTTATTTATTTTAACATTTTACTAAATAAAGCCAAATAAAGTCTCTGAGCCTCATGGTGTTGGGTTTGGGGCAGGGGAGGGTGGGCAAGACACACTCGGGTCCGGGCCCTCCTGCAACTCCAGGGAGACTCAGCCCCTTCATGGTTGACCACACCCTCATGCCCCAAACCAGATGGAACATGAAAAAGAGCTTGAAGAATTTTAATTATGAAAAAAGGATGTACAGATGAAGATGGGGAAACCAGCCCCAAACAGCTGGGGCGCACCGGGAGAGTTAGACCCCAGCCATAGATAGCAGCAAGGGGAGGCCCCCAGGACCCACCCCGCAGGTGCTCCAACTGAAGCCCTTTCCACTGAGACCTTCAATAATTTAAATAGCAGGGAGGGTGGGGAGGGTGGCAGGGTTGCTCCAGTGTCCGCAGGGGGCCTGTGAGAGCTGGGGGTGGGGGCAGGGGTGAGCCACGCACCAGGAGGTCAGGCAGGGCGTCGGGGCTGCTGCAGGGCGGTGAGGTATTTGAGGGCAGCAGCCCCATAGCGACGGGACAAGTCCTGGTGGAACTCATCCTTGACGGCCTGGAGGCAGTCACGATAGGTGGGACTGGAGCGGAAGCGAGAGATGTCAAGGCTTGGGCCATGCGGCAGGTGGATGGTGAAGGCCTCCGGCAGCACCAGGAGCTCATATTCCTATAGGGGCGGAGGCACATGGACATTCATTGCCTGGGCTGGGGGGAGGATTGCAGCTCTGGGGGATGGGGAGCGGGCTTATTTGAGAGCCCCTCATAGCCAAAGTGAGGTCAAAGGGCAGATATTAGTTCTATATGGATGAAACTTCTAATAGTACTGCCTACTGGTGCCGTGTGCCACGCTGAGGTGTAGTGAGCTCCCTGGGCCTGGAGGTATCCAAATTGAAACTGGAGGCAGCAAGGCACATCCTCACCTGCGCATCCAGCTCCATGATGTGGGCCACCTTGTTCCAGCCAAAGCCCACAAACCGCGGGTCATAGCGGGGACAATCACGCGGCACCACCACGTAGGGCTCGTAGTCAGCGGCCCACTGCACACGGTATGGGGTCTGAGCCTCCCGCCAGCGGGCATAGTCTGTGGGCGCGTGACCCCGGGGCCACTCGTGGTACCTGTGGAACAGGATGGGGCAGGGCGCCAAGCTAAGGCTAGGAGCTCAGTTGGGGGCGGGGGAGCGGTGTGGGGCATGGAGCAGAGCCTCTCCTACCTGAAGGTGTAGAGCGAGCCGGAGTCCAGCAAGGCCAGCACTTCGGCCTTGGAACTGGGGAAGCTGAAACGGTAGTGTAGGGTCTCAAACGCCGGCACTACCAGAGCCGCTCTCCGCTCGCTGCCCAGCTTCAGCTGCTCGATGGAGGCCCTGAGCGGGGAGCACCCGTGAACAGGGCAGCAGGGACGGCTCCGGGCCCAGCGAGTCCCTGACTTCTCAGCCGCAGGACCCAAGGCTGGCTGGCCCGACCGCCCCGCAGGAGGCAGACCCAGGAGAGCTGCTATGGGAAGTGGATCCCAGCCTCCTCTCCTCTCCGATGCGGCCGCCCCCGCCCCAATACGAACCCCATCTTACAGAGGACAGAAAGGAGCCCCTGTCCACACACACCCGTCTGCCGTTCCTCTCCCTCCCTCCTCCTCCTCAGGCCCACCTGAGGTCGTCGTAGAGGGAATAGGCAGGCAGGAAGTCAATGTCGCTGAGGAAGACGTAAGGCGTGAGGGCCTGGGCCAAGGCCACGTTCCGCAGCTGGTTGACGGGGTAGAGGGGACCCTCGCGGTACACCACGTGGTAGGCCACGTTCTGCCGGGCAG